CCCCCCCCCCATCAGCTGATGAATCCCCGCGCGTTTCCGCTCGGCTTTGCCCGTTTCCGTGCTCGTCCCGTGACCGCTCGAATTATTTACGGCAGCGGAGATGGAATCCGTGCTCGGTCGAAATTTTATTACACGAAAATTCCCGCCGATTGTTTCGCTTCCGGCCGCGCGCATGCACACAGCTGATCGCGGCCGGGTGTTTCAATACGTCGAGCACGCTGTGAACGCGCACTTTCGAGCTTGTGTCGAACTTATCTCGAAACGCAACGCGAATTCGACGGAATTGTGCGTACCTGCCGAACGTATGCAAACAGTTGCTCCGCAGGGAGAGGAAAACGGGGTCGTCTCGAATCTCCGATCATTGTCACTGAAAACTTGATCCACCACGTTCGACGCTGATGAGCAGACCGAGAAACGCAGTCCCGTTCGTCATCCACGAGTGATTCTCATCATCTGACTCTCGGCGAACGAGAGTTTAGTACACGATCTGTCCGTTTAGCTGCAATTGGGTTTCGCCTCGTTCGGTGCGCAAGGTGTAAGTCAAAATAAAGAATCCTCCACGCGAGGGAGTTTGCTGTTCGAATTTTTATCGATCGAACCCGACACCTTTCGCGTCTAACGCGTCTTTCTTTCCGGATTTCTTCTCGGAGACGTCACGAAAGCAAACATCTGTCGCATTCGAATGCACTCATCGTGAGCTTTATCGTGACCGAAGATTTTCCCGAGCTTTCGTTTCATTTCAGAAGTTCATTCGCCGTGGCGGATTAATTAACGAGTCGTCGGGCGAATATGCGATCGATATATCGCGCGTTGGCGCTTGAAATCCCGTCGAAATTCAATTAAACTGCGAATCATTTCTCCCCGGCGAATTTCTTATCGCGCAGTTCAACGTCGCCGAACGCGCACCTTCGATTTATTTACCACGGATCGTAGCCGATCCAGTTATATATAGAAAGCAATCTTCACATCGAGTGGAATCGTATTTCCTCGATGGCTCTCTTCACTTTCGAACCGTAGTTTCGCAACATTCTTCGGAAATGCGCCGACCTTCCGCTCGTACGTTTCCCTTCTTGAGAAGCATCGATCTCGCCCGGTTATCGCAATTTACGGCGCACATGAACACATAATCGAGCGTGTATCTCAAGCACCGATCAATTAGCGGATCTCATTCCCGAGTGCTTCAGTCAACGTCCTTGGAGCGGGGTGTAACATGCCCAGGGGTTTCCCCGTGGTTGAAAGACAAAGAGGAGTGGCGCCAAGTCGAACTTATGCACGCCGGTCGAATTCGAAATGACACGAGCTTCTTCGGGGGAAAATCGAGCGAGAATCTGCCAAATTGATCTACGCGATCGCGCGCAATCACGTAAACACGCGCTATCGCTAAACAATGTTATTTTGTAATTGATTATCCGCCGGCTCCTTGCGCGAAGCAGATAAAAGCCGATAAAAGTTTCGTTGCCTGATGATAAGCCGGGACGACGGAATACGCGTACATCGGTGTCGTCGACTGTTCGACGAGGCTGTCCACGAGATCGCGCGTACGAAGCCGCCAAAAGCAGCAATTTATTTGTTCTGGCATCGCGTGTCGCCGGTCCGCAAACCGGAAGCTACGGTAAATCGACGCAAATGAATCGTACACTCCGCCGCCCTCTCCTTCCCTCTCTCCCCCTCAGCCCGGGGCGGTTCGTCGATCGATTTTGAGTTACGGTGCACGTTGACCATGTTTCCCGTTTCGATGACTTCCGTGATTATGCGCGCTTTCCCTCGCGCTCGTCCTCTCTATCTCTCTCTCTCTCTCTTTTGCAGAAATCGCCCCTGTTTTGTTTCGTTACGGATTCCGTTCCCGATATTTTTCTAATACTCCCTCTTCCTATCTTTTTCATATTTTCCTCGAGCTTTTCTTTCCGCATGACGAAACGCTCGCGGACGTTGAGCGATGCGCGGTGTTGTTCGAGGATCGATCGAGTCCTTCTCTCCTCCCCCTTGCGAATGTTTAACGTCGAAATTCGAGGGAGGGAGAAGCTTGGGCTGTAAATAATGGCGTGAAAATTATATCCGAGGGAAAAATTGGATATCCGTTCGGCTGTAAGCCGACCGCGAGAGCGATCTTTATCCGTCCTCGAAATAAATATGAGGCGTACCAATTAGCCGCGATCATTCTTGAAAATGATCGGCGATCGTCTTCAAGTGTGTCATCGGATTTCGATAACGTTCGAATGCGCCGGCTTCTATTTTGGATATTTCGGCTATCTCGGCGGAATCTCGAGAGAAATGGTATTTTCTCTCCGTTCCATCGCATTACGCCGCGTTGTCGCGCAGACGTCGCAGGGGAGAGACACGTGGTGACATCGGCAAACGTTCGGAGATGCGTCTTCGATAGATTCTCTTAGGTGCCTCGCCTTATTAAATTACTCGAGCCAGTACTCGACCTCGTAAAAAGTATCGATCACGTAGCAGAGTGACGAGAGCGCGTAATTTCCCGCTGGCCGTGATTATCGCGGAGATCTCCGACAGCGCAGCCGGGAATAAAAGGAATATTGTAATTCTATTCACTTATACTTCTCCAAATATACATCGTTATATATAATCTCAGCAGTTGTTCCCTTTCTCCTCAATAATTTCACCCCTTTTTCTTCTTACATCTTATCCGTCCCTCTCGTTATCTCTCCTCGCAGTTTCGGGAAATGCACGTGGTTTCACACAAGCGGCACACCAAATTACGTAACACACGAATTCACACGGCGTAATGTTCCTTCGTTCTTCGCTAATATCCTATCGAGCCAACGTTAAACAAACGCGTCATCTCTAAAAGTTGCCGTTCAATTTTTACTATCAAGCAAACACTTATTTACACGAGTGACACGCGAGCCAGCCCGCTTAAAGCTAATTCGAGCGGCGGAACGTTGTTAATTTAACAACGAGTGCAAATCGATATTAATCATTCCGTTGGACCACAGCTTCCTCGAGCGACGGTCGATATAGAAAACCGTGTCTAAGTTGCGAGTAAATCTTCGTGCTCGCGAATCTTACGTGGAATTTTCGGGAACCCAGCCAAAGAATTGCACGGAGAATCTCCAGCACGTGTGTCGCGAAATAATGTCATGCGCCATTTATAAATCCATGGATGAGAGGAGGACGGTGAAAGTGCTAATATCCTTTGCAAATCGACCGCAATATAAGCGCGCCACGCTCTTCGAACGTTGATTCGATATCTCTTATTTGGCGCAACGCCGCGTCATTCCAAGTCGGCATTTTCACGCTAAATTTTGACTCGGCTCTCTTAAGGACAATTTGCGCCTACTTAGGTGACACATAGATTAGTAAAAACTTACTTCGACGATACCATATCCGTCCACTTCTCTCCTGAATCTTTAATTCTCTTCGATTAACAGATTTCATCCTAATGCTACACCGAGGAAAAGATTTCTTTGGATTTAATAAAGTTTTTTTTAATTGAAACAACTTATCTTCCGGAATAGAACAAACAAACGAATGTTTGATTCAACGAATGGAATTGTTTAGTTTGAGAAACGATAAATATCTTTACGTCAAACAACATATTTTTTTGGCACTTTCATCCAAGCATTACTTGGTTGTCGCAAGTAATAAATTATTTGAAAGAGATAATACTACGTTAGATAAATATGAAAGAACTTACTTCTTTGCTTCGGTGGAACATTATTTAGTATGTAATGAAATAATAATTTTTATTAAAAACAAAGTATAATATTTCCCCTGAATAATAGTGTTTGATTTATCAAACAACATGATTTACTCGAGTGAAACAGCGACATATTCATTTAAACAAAATGATATTCGATATTAAATTATGTTACTTATATTAAACATATCCGAGTGAAGCCTAGCATGTGTACGATACGTGTACTAAACCCAAACAAATCTTTCCCTCTGTATATAAATGCCTCCGATATTTAGATTATTAATTCATTACTAATTTATAAAAATATTCAATAATGATCTATTTTTTGACGCTAGAATGGCGAAAACGAAAGAAATTTGAAATGTTATTGCATAGCCAAAGTGAATAAATGATATCGTTGAAGTAGAGAAAATTTGCTATTTTGCTATTTTAGCTCCCACCGTGTTCGAGAATTCAAGTTTCAACGTAGGGCCGAAATTTCGGCTCGGAATTTCGCGTGTACGGACATTTCGGGTCTTATAACACACACGCATACGCACTGTGACGAATTAGCTCTTAACATGATCGGTCAGTGGCATCGTTAATTAAAGTGTAATAATCGCACATTCCACGAACGTCTAATGCACACGTCCGACTCATTGGCGACGACGACGATGTGTCCTTTAGCATTTTCTGCGAAGTACTCCAATATACCGGCCGGCGCGCGATGTCTTTAATTCCAATTATCACTCCGCGAGACCTTCGAGTCAATATTGAATCGTCGCACGTCGCGTTCTGGAAATTACACCGCGCGCAGCCTCATCAACTTTTGACGTTTCCTGTGCAATTTTTCGCATCTGCATCGGACGCCTCGTTGTAACCGAATCGACCGTTTTGTTATTCAGCTGTTTTATCTCTTTTTCCTTTTTCTTCCTTTCCTTTAACCGGTCTGACGCTATATTCCAATCTTATCGCAGAACTGGAAATTAGTCAACCACTATTATTTAACCGCTATTATTTAGCGTTCGCACACGTCGCGAATAACGAGTTCATTTTGCCGCAAGGGCAGACGGCTCGTAACATTGCGACCGAGACATTGCTTATCGGGCGCACTTTTCAGGTACGGCGAAATGGAGAGTCGCTTCCAGGGCAGAACGCCGGAGGACGACGTGATCGGGCAGTTGCAAAGTAACAAACGATCCCCGATGACGCTAAACGTCAGCGGACTGTGGGACGTGGTTCCACGGTTGGATTATTATAGGTATATCACTTACTAATTAATTACCCGCGCGGTATTTAATCTGTCGTATATCGACCCGTGCATGCATTGCGCGTCGCCGTGATATCCGACGTGCCTATTAAAAAGTCATTAACGTTTCTTTCGGCAACGATTTATACGCGGCGCATTCGGCGAACGAGGGGGCGAACGAGGGAGAAGCTCGCAATCATTTCGACGATTATTATTCCGCGAATCTTTCTTGCAGGGTGAGCCGTCGCGTGAAGAGGCCATCGTTGAACACTTTGCACGAGGGAAATCTCACAAAGGTAAGGAAACTACAGTCGGTGCACGGTTGATTTCGCTTAATTTAAGGAAATTACGGGAATTTCGCCATCTCAGTCGGCACGTCTGTTTTCGCTGTCAATATGCGTCCACGAGCGAAAAATTTATTACGCTTATCGCAACGTTGACCTCGCGAATAGAAATCTACTTCGCGATCCGCGAATGTGATTATTTTTTCGACCGCGCGAGACGCCTCGCGTCTAAGCGGCGCGAACGCCTTTTTCTCTAAAGATTATTTTTTATTCGAAAGAATCTATATCTCGCTTAGTTATCAGATCATACAGAACTTGTATCTGCCCATCTCTGTGCTCAATGTGTCAACGTCATTGTTTATGTGTGCCGTTATCTTTGTTCTGTTTACCCATGTAATTGATAAATGATTTTGATAGAAATGTGCGATTTATATATATTGTCCATAGAAATGTATTTCCACTGTGCGTGTGCAAGCACGTAAGCGCTTTAATTCCTTCCGTGAGCACAATACGGCTTATCGGTTAAATATTCATGATTATTTTTAATTACCTCGAAGGACACGCTTAGACTTTCACCGACGCGCGACTTCTCGCTGAATATGCAATGTTAGCAGAAACTATGTCTTCGATATTTTGGGAAGAAAAAAAATAGATAACAAGAAAGGAGAAAGGAGGAAAAGAACGCACGAAAGTTGACTCTGCAACTTTAATATCCGCGCTGAAACTTGCGAACAAAATGTGACGTCAGTTGGATATCAGATTAGAAATTGCCCAACTGAAAATCGATCAATCAGACGGAAGAATCAACTTTTCTTTTTTTTATCAAAGATCCGTCCGGATAAAAATTTTAAGGCGAAATTCCAATCGCGGTTGCTGATAAAGTAACTGATAAAGTTATTTATAAAATGGCGACTTCCGAGACGAGGTGTTTAGAACGCAATTACCTATAAAAACCTATTAGATAACAAAGGCATCGCGCCACCCGCTGTGATTTCTCCGGCCTCTCTCTCGAAGAAGACGATCAAAGTCGCGGAGGTGACCATACCAGGCAGGGGAAACTGGTTTATTAAGTTTACACAGCAGTAAACATCCGTCCGGTGAAATTGGAAGAGGTGGATCGCATGGAAGAGCGGAGTTCTCGAACGCATTATGGAATTTCTGGTTCTCAATTGCGCGCGCGAAACGTTTCCCCTTGCGATGAAAATTCAAATACTCGTTCGTAAAAACCGCGTGTCTCTACGGTAACCCCGTATGCACGTAAAATCACCAGAATGTACATTTAGTAATGTGAAAATAACGAACGAAACGCCTGACCGTCAGATAGGAAGATACAGTTACATGTAACTCAGTGATTGTAACTCGGTATCATGTTGAGCGTTTTTAAAAAAAAGAAAAAAGAAAACGTTTCGCATCGATCGCGTCTCAACGGTTGTGCACTTTCGACACAATTTAGGACATAGTCGACGATGCAATGAGAACTTCTTTCTGCATGATCTGGTTAACTAGAAGTACCAAGCGGTTATTGATCGTTTCTACTTTTCAGATTAGTACCTCATTTCTCGTGTAAAATATAGGACAAGGTTATAAAAGGTTTTTTATGGATTTCGCAACGCATCTCGTTAAATGCGTGAGAATTTGCTTTTTAATTCCCACAACTCACATTATCCAGGAGATACATTATCGGATACGAGACGCGTTGCGAAACTCGTCGAGGAAAAAAAAAGTGTTGCAACCTTTAATTTGCCGACTAGGATGTGTGTGTGTGTGTTGTGCGTGGTCAGTTATAAAAGAGTTGCGATACTTTTTTTTCATACCTCTTCCGGGACGCGCGTCCGTGTCCGATAGGAAAATTTGTTTTCCAGCGATTCTCAGAGAACATATTTTCCGATGCGAGACACGTTGCGAAACTCATCGGGAAAAAAAGGAAACGCAATCCTTTTTTGCGACTGACCGCACACACGCCTCTCCCCTGCGGCTGTGAAGCGAAAATACTGCGACTTAACACGTTCATTGCCAAGCTGAAAATTGGAATTTCGCGTGGTGGCCAAATTTTTTTTATTTTTTTATTTAGTTTTTATTGTGCTCAAAATAAGTTAATATATTATTTATATACTTTTATTATCATGTACATAGGATTTATGTACTCTAAATGTCTATTACGCGATAACGCGTGATTGCCGGCCGTTTGGTGAGAACACGCATCACGCGATATCGCGTGATTGGCAATTGACGTGTTAACCGCGCGTCGGCCGACGCTTCGGGAAATCGGCCGGCTGTGCGGAGAATTGCTCCTCTAAAGATACGCAAATATCGCTTCAGGACGCCAATGTCGAGTGCGGGCAGCAGCAGGTCGGGAACGTCGGAGGTCAGCAGCAGCAGCAGCAGCAGGGCCACGTCGGAATAAAATTAGGATGGATCCAGGGCGTCCTCATACCGTGTCTGCTGAACATATGGGGCGTTATGCTGTTTCTGCGACTCTCGTGGGTGGTCGCGCAGGCCGGCATTCTACAGAGTATCGTCATTATCGGGATATCGGCGGTCGTCTGCGTCATTACGACGCTTAGCCTCAGCGCAATTAGCACTAATGGGGAAGTAAAGGGAGGTGTGTTACCGTATAACGCATTCTGTAATTCTTTTTTTCCGAAGGAGTGGCCGCGCGCGCGCGCCTTTATCGTTTGACGTACGGCGCCGCTTCTTCTTTCTTCGTCTTCCCTGCGGGGGAAGACTTTCCTCGGGGAAGATTTACACGGACGGCAATATGCGCGTTTATTTGCTCTTTGTTGCGTTGGTTTTAGCAAGCCGGCCACTGCGTTTTCTTCCGTACGTCGAAATCGATTTCGATATAGAATAATGTAGAGAAAGGGTCTTCAACAGCCAAATCGCGATTGTTGAAGCGTTATTATTACATTATTGCGGAAGGATATATTGTTTAGCGTATGATAAAAGAACTCGTGCTACAAACGGTCCGCCTAAATTTCCGTGTTACTTTAACACGGGGGATACGTTGAGAAGTTCACAAATATATAAAATTCACATATTCGCCTTGTTAAAGTAATGTACGAATTTCGGTAGAACGTGTGTAACGGACATTTTTTTTTCTCTTTCTATAAAAGTTTATATATATATATATATAATTAAAATTCTCCTCAAAATTCAATGCTTTATTCTGCAGCTTCGGGTAATCATAATTCGATCAAATCAATTCAAACAACAATTTAATAATATCATTACAATAACCGCGATTTGGCTCCTCAAGGTCCGTTCTATTTCTACATGGTTTCTGCTTCCTTAATATTTCAATCTCACTAGTAGAGCCAATGTAAATCCCTTAGTCAATTTCGGTAGTTCGGATAATGTAAGCATTCTCAGATTTTCGTAACTCGCTAAAAGAGACGAACGCTTTTCTGAGTGTTCGAGCAGTAATTAGAAAATGGCGATTGCCTTGCAGGTGGAATATACTTCATCATATCCCGATCTCTCGGGCCGGAGTTCGGCGCGTCGGTTGGCATCGTGTTCGCATTCGCGAACGCGGTAGCGGCTTCTATGAACACAATCGGCTTCTGCGATTCTCTGAACGACTTGCTAAAGACGTACGGCTTGAAGATCATAGATAATGGCGTGAATGACGTTAGAATCGTCGGTATGATAGCGCTGGTCGTTATGATCCTTATCTGCGCGGTCGGCATGGAGTGGGAATCAAAGGTATTCGATTAGTTTCTTTTCTCTCGAGTAACACGCGGATGAAATTATCGCAGCCACACGTAAAACCAAATGTGAATTGCGATGGACAATTTGAAAGGTCGAGTATACACTTGCCGATCGTAGTTGCCTGCACGCAGAGAGTACACGCAACATACGCATTTGAGAGGATGACGCTTTTATACACTCTCTGGGCTTTTCCTTTGACAGGCGCAAAATTTTCTCATCGCCGTAATCGTGGGCGCTATCTTCGATTTCCTCATCGGGACCATCATGGGCCCGAAAACTCCGGAGCAGGAAGCGAAAGGTTTCAAGGGATTCTCTGGTAAGAGCGAGTAGCTTAGATACAGTCGATCAAATGATAACGGATATGAGTCTTCATATATTATTATAAATGTTATACAATGTTGTTATATACTTTATACACTGTAAATGTTTCGTAATAATGCATGGTGAATTATACTAGAAGAAGAAAAGTAGCATATTCAAGGGAATATTTGCCAAGGAGTGGGCATTGGAGTGATTATTTTATTTGGATGAAGGAAATATCACTTGAATGCAGCATGTTTTCTTCTCGGTGTGGCGGGAAAGAATTGCTTTGACAGTTAAGAATATTTGATTTCCAGCGGAGGTGTTTATGAATAATCTCGAGGCGGATTATCGGTTTTCCGAGAATAAGAATCAAACATTCTTCACCGTGTTCTCAATATTTTTCCCATCTGTCACCGGGATTCAAGCAGGCGCTAATATATCCGGTGATCTGAAGGATCCAGGTAGCAGCATACCGATCGGGACTCTCCTCGCCTTGCTGATCTCCATGCTCAGTTATATAACGTTTGTCTTTTTCGCCGGTGGCGCGGCCGCCAGAGACGCAGGCGGTTTGGTGAACAATACTATCGCGAATTGCACTGCCGGGATCAACTGCACTTACGGACTACATAACAGTTATTCGGTGAGTGATTCTAAAACGGCTATTCGAAGATATAATCTTGCGCCCCTCTTCCGACTTCAGCTTTAAAGAGCGTTCCGTATTCCGACATTTCGCCTTGGCAGAAATATACAACTCGAGACCTTTAAGCAAAATTAATTCCACACGATTATGCTCTCTCATTAAGTTATTATTTAGCGCTAATTTGATAAATTTGGTAAACGCAGTTTCGTGAAAAATTTGGATAAATTTCCCGAAATTTGGCGACAACTCTTGAATACTCGAACACTTGATTTAACGAGGAACCGGGCGACCGCCGCAATTTTCCACATATGCGTTCATCTTGTGCAGGTCATGCAATTGATGTCTCTTTGGGGCCCGTTAATTTACGCGGGATGCTTCGCAGCCACCCTGTCGACGGCGCTGACGAATTTATTATCCGTGCCGCGGCTCATTCAGGCTCTCGGTCAGGATAAAATTTATCCCGGCCTGATTTATTTCAGTAAAGGATACGGGAAGTCCGGCGAGCCTTACCGAGGGTACGTTCTAACCTTCGGCGTCGCCGGTCTCTTTCTCTTAATCGGTAAGATATCCCCCTACGTCTCTATCGTGTAAGAAACTCTCACATATTGCGAGGGAATATCCTCGACCCGAGTCGAAATTTGGATCCTGTATTAAATATTCTTGAACGGTAGCACCTCTTCCGGTATATTTTGATCACAATGATGTCTTAAATTGCCATTTTCGCGGTTTTAGCGCCGGAATAATCTGTTCTAGGTGGTATTAAGATGAAATCCATAGAATGAAAGGTTCAAGAGAGAAGTTAATAAATGTCAGTATCGTCGAAGAATAAGTTGTTATTAGTTGATAGATCATCCACGTAGACGCAAATTATCCTTAAGAGCATCAAAGTAGCATCGAAGTAGTATTGAAATTTTGACTCGGATAACGTTATTAATTTCACGTCTTGAAGAAACTCTGGATCGGTTTCCTTTCAGCCAATCTCAACGCAGTCGCGCCGCTGATCTCGAACTTTTACTTAGCGTCGTACGCCTTAATCAACTTCTGCACTTTTCACGCGGCGTTGATTCGATCGCTCGGATGGCGACCCAGTTTCAAGGTAAGTTGGGAACTGACCGGTCAAGCCTCACACAAGAGACACGGATTTCGCAACAATTTTATTGACTTCTCCGCCCTTTCGCAGTATTACAACACCTGGCTGTCTCTGTTCGGTTTTATCATTTGCGTGGCGATTATGTTCCTCATCGACTGGGTGACTTCGCTCGTCACCTTCGTCATCATCTTCGCGTTATACCTGATAGTAGTCTACCGCAAGCCGGATGTCAATTGGGGCAGCAGCACGCAAGCTCAAACCTACAAGACGGCGCTTTCCGTCGTGTACAAGTACGGCGTTGACGTTATTTTTAAACCGATCAAATCATTTTGATGCGAAACGACAAATATTTAGGAAATATCTAGTCTTGTGTGTGTGTATTTCATGTAATCTCTGATTTGAATAAGAATTTAAGAATTGTTCGTTGATTAGAAAAGCTCGATACATTTGAAAATTTGAGAACGACACTTTCTAAGTTTGCAAAAACTTGCAGATTGAATAGCATGGACGAGCATGTGAAGAATTACGCGCCGCAAATTCTGGCGCTCACCGGCCCACCTGGCGCGAGACCAGCGCTGATACATCTGGCGAACCTCATCACGAAGAATAATTCTTTGCTGATCTCCGGCGAGGTCTTCCCGGTAAAGAAGAAAATTCGACCAGATCCTCACGCGATCCAAAAGTGATTGTGAAAATATATTAAATAGCGTTAAGGTCCCGACGTGTAATTTCAGACGCGGCTGTCGTATCGCCTGCGCTCCGTACGTCTGAGAAACGGTTACACGTGGTTGTATCAGAATCGTATCAAATCATTCTACCACATGGTGGAGGATATGAGCCTCGAGCGAGGTGCAGCCGCCTTGATGCAGGCCAGCGGGGTTGGCAGATTAGCTCCCAATGTGGTCCTCATGGGTTACAAGACTCATTGGTCGACGTGCAATCACAAGGACCTGCAGGAATATTTCAACGTTCTCCAGTAAGTCAACATTATTATCATTATGTTTGAGAAATTTACGGGGAAGCAGATATCTTCGGCTGAGTTCGTCTCGAACGCGTTGAAATTAGATTTTCCTTCGGCATAGAATTAGGAATGAAGATAGAACGACGCTTTCAGCACAAAAGCGTCCGGAACAAACTTACGAGGGAAATTCGAAGAACCGAAAATTCCGAGAGAACTCGAACACATAGCTATTTATCATTTTGTCCGAACAACGTTCTAGGAAAGTACATTTCTGAAGGAAATCCAATTTCCCGTATTTTCGCTAATATCTCTGAAACCGGAAGAGATATCGAAGAAATGCTAAATAGAAAATTGTATATAAAATATACAACGGCCTTCAAAACTGTGACAAATGATTTAAAAATACTTTTTTCAAAAAAGATTCAAAAGGTCCACTCTTAGAACCGTTTTTCAGCCAAGGGGAAATTACATTACTACATGATCAAACTCACATATCCATTATTTCTGCAAAACTTGACAAGACTTTTCGGAACTTTCGGTTTCCCAAACTTCCCTTTGTGTGTTCTTCACTGCCCTTTCGTTCCACTTATTCCAGCACATCAGGGATTACTCGTAAATAGTAGATTAAAATTAAAGGCGTAGCATCTCGTAATTTCGCGATCTTTTTCTCCAGCAATGCCTTCGACCACAAGCTGGCTGTGGCTATTTTGAGAATCGCCGATGGCCTGGACTATTCCGGCGCGACGAGCGCGAATGGAGACGACGAACACGGAAACCTCGCTCAGAGCAGCTACGATCTGGCGGGGAACACCTTGATGCACGCCGACAGCGATCTTTCCATGAGCACGCAGATTCCCAGAGTGCAGAGTGTGCCGACGATAGGTAAAAAAGCCGCGCGATATTGAATACAAAAAGAAGAATCGAAAATCACGTAATCTCTCTTCATTCTCGTTACGCAAAGCTTATTGTACCTTTGACGGCGCCAAATTACACCGTCATTTCTACCCGTCGCGAGTCCGTTCTGAATAATTGGACGAAAAGATCCGCCGCGTCACGAAGGAGTCGCAAAATTTCAATTTCGGAATTTTCGACGTTGTTGACATTCATTGTTCCCGATTGTTATTAATTTGACGCTGTGTTCCAGGCACGTCGTTCGTCACACCCACCGACGTCCCAAATGTGATGAGGGATTCGCCGATACACTGGAACGCCCGGGGGAATTTAAAGCAGAAGAAAAAGCTCGCCCTCGACAGGATGTTGTAAGTTGCACTAGTATTGATCCCAAAGTCGCCGAAAGCTGCTCTCTGCTGCGAGTTTAGTCCTGTCGCTAACAATTAATCAATTAATCGTCTGTCACCTCAGCGACAAGCACAACGGTATGGCCTCTATATCGGAGAACATGACGATCTTCCAGAAGAAGCACAAACAGGGCACGATTGACGTATGGTGGTTGTACGATGACGGAGGTAACTCATAAAATGATACTCACTAAATTCCTTGGAGTGAATTCGAAAAGTAGAGCGGCCACCGAGTCGTTCGAATTCGAGTGACTTGTCACTCATACAGAGTGAATCCTTCACTCTGAATCGTCGAGTGAATACTTGCGTTCAGAATTGAAGAGTGAATAGTCACACAGAGACATATTCATTCGATCGAAGTATCCGCTCATACGGAGTCCAAGAATCCACTCTAAGATTGAGTAAAACATTCGCTCTCGCGATTTTGAGCGGCAGTATTTTCACATTTTCATCGTTTCGAGTGAAAATACCGCCACGTCTCGCTTATTTCGAGTGAGATTTCACGCGAAGAAATTTCGAGAATACTTAAGAGACTGTCGCCGTTCGTACTCGAAATTTCTGGCTTATCTGTGAACAACAAAACTTACCGTTCGACAGGTCTGACAATCCTCCTGCCGTATATACTCAGCACACGGTCTGGTTGGGAGCATTGCAAAATGACGATATTCGCTTTGGCCAATCATAAACAGAACATCGATGCTCAGGAGAAGGAGTAAGTAAAAGAGCGAGCCCACTCGATTGCTCCGTAAGGATCGTAAAAGAGAACTCCGACGTACTTAGTGGGGAGACTATTTTAATAATTAAAATCTAAAAAAATATATACGTCTAATTAATTACCGTTTCGCAATTTTACAGAATGATTGAGATAATGCGCAAAGCTCGAATCAAATACAGCGGCTTAAAGATGGTGGACGGCATCTGCGTCGAGCCGCAACAGGAGACGCAGTCCTTCTTCGACAAGTTGATATCCGACTTCCGGATGAACAATTCTTCGGACAATTCCGGTACGTGTGTGTCGCTCGTGTATGCGAATTTTCTGCCGATGACGTACGTGTAGTTTACGCTCGATAATTCGTCGTTTTCAGAATGCTGCGTGACCGACCTCGAGCTGCAGACTTTACGGGAAAAGACCCATCGGCAGCTGCGACTGCGTGAGTTGCTGTTGGAGAACTCGAGTCAGTCTACCTTGGTAGTAATGTAAGCACGATAACGCGCTTTAATATGACACGATATGTTCGCAATGATCCAATCATGTGTACGAACGTCGTATTGGAATTTTCCCGAGGACAGTTTCGGTGCATCTTACTTACTTCTATCTACTTTGAATCCCAGGTCTTTACCGATGCCAAGGAAGGGCGCGGTCTCGGCGCCGTTGTACATGGCCTGGCTGGAGTCACTCACAAGGGACATGCCGCCCACAATCTTAGTCCGTGGAAATCACACATCCGTGTTGACGTTCTACTCGTAGTCTACCGTATCCTGGTTTAGGTATAATTCAAGTTCGCGTGTGAACCCTGACGCCGCGGGAAGTCTCTCTCAAGCGAGGAGAAACTTTTCCAATGTGAACGCACAGTATTTGGAATATTTATGCCAAAACTAATGTAGATACGCCCAATAACTTCTTCGACGCGTTTCTGTTTCCCCCTTTCTTTTCTTTTTTCTTTTTACCTGTACTTAAAGTCCACCTTGTATTTAATTTTATCGATTGTAAGTTATAGAGAATTAAGGGGCTCTTCACGACCATAAGTGTGTGTTAAGCCGGACAACTCTAGTACCTGTCTAGGACAGTCTTTCTGTACTGTTTTCAATTACTCGACTAGTCTTGCGTTTCAATTAATGAAATAACTACCAACGATCGAGCGGAAATGAACGAAGACTCTTTTTAGTCAAGGTGAACATCGAAGCGAAAACATAAGTAACAATGTGTCTGTAATTTTTCACGATTACTTGGTTGATGAAAAATTCAGTATTATACGAGTTACTTGTACACGATACAAATAGCAAGTGAAATTTCATTGCGATGTACGAAAACATGGTTTGGAAAATAACGAATGATAACTTAGATAATGTTACACGCATTTTTGACACAAGTAGAAATAAATGCATAACGGCCAAGCCTCACAAAGCCTTTCACAAGAAATATTCACGTGTATATGACCAGTTGGCATCGGTAATTAAAAAAAAAAAAACCGCCGGTAGTTTGTATAAAATTAGAGCGTTAACGTAGTTAAGCACTTAATATTGGTTTTTTAAGGTTTTATAAATTAATGCAGCAAGAGATTATATATATTATAGAAAATATGTCTACATTTTATTCATAATTACTCTATTATTGCGAATACATGTACATATATTTTTTGAGTTGAGATAGTTTCGCTTCTTAGTTATTAAAAATTGTAAAGACGAAATATATATTTATATGTAGAGATATTGATATAAATATATAAAAGACATATTTTAAATATATATTGTACAAGTGAAATATAAACGCGCACGAAACACGGTGACTTCGAAAACAAGGATGTCATATCATTTCCCAAATATAGTGAGAAACTACTCCGTTGAAAAAAAAAAAAGGACTAACAATAAAGACTAAATAACATTAATGTAACATGTTCTATCGTTTTATAAAAATATTCATTTTTTTCTCTACAATTATACAAAAATCATGTGGGATTGAAAGTATAATCATAAATATATATTTATTTATATACGACTTTTCGAAGACAGACTTTTATAAGTGCATTCAAAGCAATACACGTAATGCGGGATGCGTTGATGAAGAGTTTAATTTTGGATAATGTTGCAAGGATGTGTGTGCATGCTTCACGAGACGGCACCTCGAATTCGACCTCTTCCACTAAACGAAGAACTTCTAAAACCCACAATAATAAATCATCTTTGACATCGTATTTCCGTGCTTAATTATCTTCACGATCTTTCTTTCCAACGACATAAACAATTATATAAACAATCATATACGTCATCTTTCGAACCAAATAACACCTAAAAGCGATACAAATCAGACCGAACCGAAGTTCACGATGCATTCTGCGTTACTTGTTGTTGTGAGTCTCAAAGATCTTGCTAAAGACCGGCTGAATTTGCTCCAACATGTCGGACGTCAACATTCCTCGCTGCTTTGATCTGAAGGCCGACGCATTGCACTCTCGAATGAGTCTGCACGCGGCATAGCAGGCCACTGTCGAAGGCGAAAGGGCGCATTCGCTGGTTCCTGCGTTCATAGCCCACCACCAGAAGACAGCGAGGGAACCAGCCAAGAGATCGCCCTGTCCACCGCATCTCCTTCCAGAGCCGGCCAATCCGCAGGAGACAGTCTCGGTACCCTTGTGACCGTCCACAATCACATCCTTCGCTCCTTTGTGCAGAATCACCACGTTTTTCCCAAAAGCCTCCGCCACGTGTTTCACGTCGGAAGCTTTCACCACAGGGGAGGGCGCAATGTTCCTGTCCAGGGCCGCTTTGGCCAAACGGCTGAACTCCATTGCGTTCGGTGTCATAACGAGTCCTGGATAGTCCTTTACGATTTCGGGCTTCTGACAGACCAGGAACAGCCCATCCGCATCGATGATCAACGGTTTCTTCAAGTCACGACAGGTTGATATCAAGTCAACGATGATCTTGAATGTCTTCTCGTCCCTGCCAAGTCCAGGCCCGATCAGGATAACGTGCAGACGATCCAGCCAAGGGATTATATGCTTCAGCGGATCGTGCTGATCCAGGATCGGATGGACTATCGGTTCCGGACTGAACGATTTGATTGGGACGCTGGCATCCTTGGTGCAGAACACGTGAACGAGGTCGGCGCCGGTCCTCAACGCGCTCATTGCTGCGAAATACGGCGCGCCAGTGTATTCAGTGCTACCACCGAAGACCCCGATTCTACCATCCTGGCCTTTGTACTTGGTGTTGGTCAGATTCGGTATCACCCTCTGTATTCCTTTCAACATACGATCATCCATCGACGACGATGTCGACATCGCGGACATTGTTAGGGATTTAATATAGCTCCTGTTGACAGAATAACGAACAGCGAGTGCCATTTTCCAAATGAAATGATACACATGCAGTTTTCTAACGAAATCTTCCCCGGGGAATATAAATTACGTTACCATTTCCGTGAACTAATCGATACAGAAGTTTATGTTACATTTAAGCCTTACTTTATCGTTACCTGTAATGACGTAAACAAACCCGCCAAACTATTTGTTAATATCCCTTTTTACACGTGGAAGAGGTTGAATAAGGTACACGGGCATTAAGAAAACACAATACCCAATGATGTATTTTTCTCTTGTTGTTTCTATATTATTGAAATATTCACTGCAAATTTTGTGTTTGAAGAAACTTGTTAGGCTAGCCGGTAACCGTTGATATAATGCTTGGTAAGTAGCGGATACAAGATTTTGTTAAAAAAAAAAAAGGGTAATTTCACATAACGTTGATATCGTAATGAACAAATGCAATTACAAACTATCGATGTCTCGAATTTGTGTCCGACACGTCAATGAATCGACAGAATATTTGACATGTAACCACCGGAAAAAAATGCCTGTGAGCAGCCACGTTTCTTGTAACACCACTGCGAACGAGTGTTTGACGCCCCACCTAGCCTCGATTTTCCAGGTAGAACTACTTAACTGTTTTCCATTTTCCAGAACTGCCGGTAAAATCACTATGTAATGCGTGTCCGTGTGTTATAATTACAATTCTCATAAGCGAAGAGAATATCTCTTTCAAACTTTCTCTCTCTACATACTGTTATGAATTGATTTCCATAGATTCGTATAGTATGGCGAATATATTATTCTATAGATAGAAATATAAAATTGGAGCGCTTCTCTCTCGGTATTATTACAGACGAAAGGTGTGTGCATAGCACAGAACGAAATCGTAGACGTTACCTACTGAGAAGGTTGGTGGGTAATGCCAACGTGATACAAGTTCCACGTTGCGAATACAGAGGCGCCCTAAAATGAGGTAACCGGCAAATTGCAGACACGACTGTTCTCAGCTCTCTATCTATTCTCAAACACTTCTGTCAGGCGCTATCGATAATTGCAGGAGAAATGGCATTTACACTGTGGACGCTTTTCGAAGCGACTTTGTTATGTCTGAACGCAGTTTGCGTCTTAAACGAAGAAAGGTTTCTCGCCAAAGGTATGAATAATGAGGCAATTATGAGTATTATGTGCTTCTGTTCGCATAGCAGATCACAGGGAAATGCTGAGCGCCTAGTCACGTTTTAGGTTATAATTTCGAAGATAATTTTAATGGAAAACAATATTCGGATGTGTATTTGACGTTGAGATTTGTATCTTAGTTGGCTGGGCATCGTGGCAAAATGTGCAAGGATTTGGTGAGTCTCCTACCCCTAAAACACAAATGTTGAATCTTATTAAGTCGATACGAACTGTGATGAAAGGTAAGTATAATTGCAAAATCTGACGACTGCTTAAGATCCTTGTTATTTTCAGTTTCTGTATATCAACGTTGATTTTCAGTTCCACTGATATTCTTCAACATCGTGATAATAATCCTAAAGCTTGTGTTCGGGTGATACACAGAAGAATTACAGTATAGATGTATAAATGCGAAGCGCTGTGTGTCAACCAAACTGCTGAATGATGTCTGCACAATGGGAATTTATTAAATTATACTTACTTTTACAATACCTTTGTGATAAAACAATGTCTCGTCACTGTTATAACGTGTCTATTTCTTCGGAAATTCCAATGCATTAGTAATAGTTTTGTATAAAACAAGCAACGTATAGTGTCTCTCCTTTGTCCTCCTAAGTAAGCAACAATTTCTGTATAAATACACTTGGAATACAGTATGTAAAACTAGTTTTGTACATATCAAAAGTAATAGAAATTACTTGTGATAATAGCGTTAATAAGGTAACAATATATCCATTCAGATTCCAAATCAAAAGTACGGAAGGTATTTTCATTATAACCGAAGGCATCCGATTAAATAATAAGATATTCGAGTTATTTGGCCATTTTCCTCATCTGGCGATAAAAGACAATGAAATCGACAGGTGTTACATGCGCACCTTTCATCTCCAACGTCCGCCGATAATCCCTTTCTGCGGTTTGCAATCATATGACTCGTCCAAGTTGCGAAATTTCGTGACGGCTCTTACTTTCGAACGACTGCCCGCCAAGTTTTTCCCATCCAGGGACGAGTAAAAATCTTCGGACCCGACGCTTGATGTCGGAAATGAAACCATACAAGGAGGAAAAAAGAAGATAGCGCAATCTTACACAGTAAAATGTAGTACGAAGAAATTTCAGAAAATTTCAGAATCCAGAATTGATCCCTTCGAACATTTCAAGCGGGCTTACTTTTGCTCGTAGGTTTGGAGCCCGTCTTACTACGGCCCTGCGACGTGCCTCACCTAACCTCACCCGACTGACGCTGATGGCGCTCTTCGCTTTCATTCGCCGGTACCAGCTGACCTACAAGCCAAATTAGTTCAACCAACCGTTTTCCACTCACGCTGCGAGAGAATTCTCGATGACCAAGGTAAGAGTTCGTTAAGCGGCAATTAGAAACGATTAATGAGCGATGTCGCTGCAAGCACGTCGCTGATCGGCGAAATCACGGATTGAGGGTAATTGAAGAGCCGAAATTTGCATGATCAGCTCGGGACGAATTCCAACATGGGCGAAAGTGTCCGAAATATAGGGATATATGTGATCTATTTTGAACGTTTATCCGTGGAAATGTTGCTTTTTAGTGAATTACGATTCGCAGATCATTGCGTATTTCGACCTTTCAAGCGGATCGTTCGCTGTCAGAGTCGCGAAGAGCGCGGAAGGGTTAACCAATCCTGCGTCCTGCGAGCGTACCTCTTGCGTAAGTACGCCTTTCCGCGCATGAATTGGCAGTATGTGCGCAGCACCGGCGTACCCGTGGCTGAAACAAACGATAGGCCGACCGGTCGCCGCTTCCGCTCATTTCCATTTCAATTATTCCTTCCCGGATCATTTGAATCGTAAATCGCCTGGTCAACGGCCAGCGCGTAAATAATCGTCGGCGTTCTTCGCGGAAGATGCAACCAGCCGGACAAGTTGCCTCTTCCTCCTTACGGATTTGCGAATAAAATCACAGGACGCCCGATGATTTTCCGCTAACTTTCTCCCCCTTCCCGGCTTTCTCGGGACAAAAGAAGTAGGAGAGAGAGAGAGAGGGTGGGAGGGAGGGAGGGAGGGGGGGAGATAATCAATGACTATTACGTCGGATTCGCACTTGGCTGTGTGCGGACGCGTGAGGATTCGTTAGCGTTCATTAAGCGTGAGTTGCACGAATGTCCGCTCGTCTTTTATCGCGCTATGAGAGCCCACTTGCTCCTTCGTACTGTTCTATTGAATTTCCTCTGGCACTGACAGGTATTTTAATCGGTTTCCGGCATCTGTTTCCCCGAGGGGAGAAGAAAAGAACGCGGGGGGGGGGGAATCGGGGATTCGTAACGAATTCATATGACGAAAGTGTGTTTCGTTAAAAAAGAAAAGAAAAATCAGCCGATCGACGCGCCGTCAATTTAAGGTAGCTGTAGAATCCCCGATCGGACTTTTGTCCGGCGTTGCTGAGGAAAAACTCGATCTCGAACCGTACGAATAATTTATGGAAGCAAGGAGTGCCGGGGCTGCATGAGGTAACGTTATAACGACGTTGCGGTCATTTCTGCCCGGGAATTACGATCCCATTCGCGGTGCACGACGCGCTGCAGCTTGTCCGAAGACGCAACGTCGATCGTTGTGCAAGCGCCTCGTGTCCGATTTACCGTACACAGGTCGCTCCGGCCGATAATAATCTGACCGATCCGTTAGCTTGAGGACGCCCCGATCGATTTAACGTACTTACCACCTATGAGGAGTATTCACGAGATAATGCGCGGCTCTACCTTCGCATTAAAACGCAGAATTGTTATTATTATTACGAGGCTACGCTGAACGTTGAGTTCGGTTGGATCTACCCGACACCTTAATTTAAAAGAGTCTCGCGATTTTTTTCGCTAATCCCGCTCGTTTCGAGGTCTTCGAGGATAGCGGGTTGATTTATCTCGAGCATCGCGGGGAACGCGCTAATTAAGGTTCGCGTAATCCGATGATACGCAACTTGAGCGACGCCCGCGTCACTCTCGCAATCGAGAGAAAAAAAGGGAGGGACTGTGAAGCGGCTCGTTGGCTTCTCGTCTTCGGACGGTCTAACGGCGGTCGTCGTTGAGCAACGCGCGCGTATTCTTGTCTCAAAGGCCCCCCGCGCGGAAATGGGACTGGCGAAAGTGCACGGGGACCGGCGGGCACGTCGTGGAAGCGTTTTTTACGCGCCCCGACAAATCTGCTTCCCATAATTGGCAGCGCGGCTAGCATTGTGTAAATCGCGCACTTCCTCTCTCCCGCCGACGCTTCCCTCATTTTCACACGCTGGATTTTTCCTACGGTCCGCCGCAGATCGGGCCGGCCGATTAAAAGCGGATCTTACCGGTATTGAAGCCCCCCGTCGAAGCTGCTGTTCTTCTCTCGAGGCGACGATCGGTAGAGCGGCTCGAATTTTCTCCGGGCTTCCACACTCAGCTTGGTCGAATGCGCGAACGCGAATGTCAAACATAACAATTCGAACGCAATTCGATTTCTCGGCATGTACCTTTTGCTAACGAAGTTTATCAAAAGCAAGGTTGACTAATAGGAGTACCTAAAAAATAAATACTTAAAAAATAAAACATATTTATTTGTTAGGTACTAATAGCATATATTTATATATATATACTTACATTAATACAAAATATATATGATACAATATAATGTATTCTTACACTAATGTAAAATACGTAGGTGTAATATAAAAGTTGGAATTAAATAAAAGATCAAACTAATTAAATTAAATGATACAGATGTTTTTACACTCTCTGAGAAAGAATTCTCCCCAAGCGGAAGAAAATATACGTTTTTCTTAAATCTGCATCTTTCCATCAAAGGGATCGCTTATTCTGCTGAGACAAAAGAACTCAGATTTGAGTAAACAATGTTATCGGTACACCGACTGAACAAATATCGTTTATTTCCCCGATATTTCTCTCTCAGCGTAAACGGCATTGTTTACGTCGTTCCTCAATCTCGACATTATTTTGCTGGTACGGTTTTCCGCTGGCGATACTTCCACGAGTCTCCGCATCGTCAATATTCGGCCTCCTCGTGAAACAACTCCTCGCCGGACTCGTTCTTCTTCTTCTTCCTCGCCGTTTCCACGCAGGCGGGGATCGTGGTCGCGGTACGCACGCGAAGCGAGTCGTGTTCCTCTAACTGGAGCACAGATCGTCGTGTCCGATTCTCCAGGTGCGTGGTTTTTTCTCCTTTCGCACGCCGGCAGATTCGTGTGCGCGCGCTCGCCTCTTGCAAAATTCCACGACGAGTCTCACACTGCGTGTGCGCGCCTCTCCATCTCCCTCCTGCCGATCTCACCGTACCCCCTGACGCGAAGTCGGCACTTTCCCTGGTAGCAGGTACATACGTAAGCCTCTCTCGGGGCACGCAGATAGTTGGCTGATATCGCGCCTGCTTTCCTTCGTCTCCCACGAAATCATTTTTAATAGGCACTTTGTAGTAAAACCGTCGCCAAGCGCCGCTCATGAAAGTGCGTGTCGACTTCGTATGTTACCGTGTTTCTTCACACGATAATCGTGTTATTACCTTCGGCGGACACGCAATGATCTTTTCTTTCGGGTAAACCGGATTACCACGGGAGACAAATATTTCGCCGGCACGGCAAATTTTATAACGTCGCGGCGAAATCCGTCGGTCGCTGTATCGGACGGTGAAACGATCCGTCGAGAACACTAATTGTCACTTGATGGATCACTTTGCTGCATTTAGGAATTGCCTTGCCGTAAGAGCGAATTAATAAGCGTAGGAAAACACTGTATATATTTTGTTCTTAAGGACGAATTCGTTCGGCGGGATATTTTCGATTCTCACGGCCGGTTTCTGCTCCAATTACGAGTGATCCGCTAATCCGGTCATGCGAACGAAATTTTCTTGCCGATGCAACAAATATGCAGTTTGCGGAGAAAATAATGTAGTAAAAATCGCCGGGGAATTTTGTAATGTTAGATCATATCAGAATTATGACTGAAATTATATGATGTGTGTTGTAATTTATAGTGATGTACATCATGTGCTCACACACTAAAGATTACAACACAGGTCATAACTTCGATCATAATTCCGGCATAGTTTAGCATTACAAAATTTCATGGAAACTTTTGCCACAATATTTCCTCCGTGCTGCAGCAACGATGGTTTCGCTACGAAAGTATTTTCACATTATTAATTTTCCACATATATATAGAATATAAAATTCTGTCACTTCTCGTTGCCTCTGCGCTTTGATTTTCCCAAATCCTTCGAAGGACGCTTCTTCGCGTTAGCTTCGCGAGGATGCTCGAAGTTTCGAGCGAAAATGAAAAATTAAACGTTTTATGAAGAAATTAGGCCCGGAAGCCCAGTAATACCATCTTTGTGCGCGCTTGAACTTTGTCGCTTAGGAAGATCTTCCGCTCGTTTTGAACGAACTATTTTTTTTTTTCTCTAACGTGTATCCTTCCACGGAGTGTAAAACTACTGTCACCTGCTTGCACAAGCCACCGGGGCTCTCGGCAGGAATTTTAATTTGTGCGAATGTTCGTTCGCACGCAGCCGTTGCAGTGAACGGTGCAGCTTCCGGGCTCTAATGATGAGCCAACTATTTTTTTCCTAGTCTGTTTTCCTAGTCACATTCAGTAAAGTACAAAAGCGCCCATTTTGCAACAATTTTACTGTTTTCCGCGTATCTTTGCTTTTTCTTTTTTTCACGAAAGTTGAACGTGAAAGAAATTTCTGAAATCTTCGCTCGGAGATCGCTCCAAACTTCAGCCGCATTCACGGGGGCCATTTTTACGCGTCCTGGTGATTACATGAGCTCTTTTAATTATACGAGCAATGTGAAACATACATTCGCAATAGCGGTAACAACACGGACTTCTGGTTCCGCCGAGAGGCTTGTTTTCTGTCGTTTGAGACATGTGTGTGTGTGATCAACGTTACGTTAAGAAAAATAACGCTTCTCACGCGTCGGGAGATAAGTTTCTACCGACACGGAAATTACTCCGGACGTGCGGCGGCTCGCGTCTATAGCGGTGGGCACTCACTTTCTTCGTTTTACAATTCCGCTCCGAGCTCACGTTAGGCACCTTCGTCAATCGCTTCTCGTTGACTGGGGAGATGCTCCGAAATGCGGAAATAAGACGTCTCGCACGTTGATCGCCGCGAGAGTGCGACGTTGATGGCGCGGAGCGCGACACCGTTTGTTCACGATCGCCTCGCGATAGAGAGATGCGGTGGCTTTTGACAGGGAGAAGACGTGTTTCTTCTTCATTCTCGGTGTTACACGCGTCGGCGAGAAATCAGCGAATATTACCGGCGATACTATTCGCCTCACATCGGCCTCCTCGCTTTCTTAGCGCCCTCCATTCTTCCTTTCTGCGATAATCACCGTCCAAGTCTGCACCGCATTTAAACGTGGTATTCGACATTATCTCGTTGCGCAACAGAGACTTACACGTACGTGTAATTTAGTCCAGCTTCTTCTTGTCTCCACGCGAACCCCCGTCGTCTCCCGTCGTGCGTTTCGACGGACGCGCGCGCGAGGAATCTAAATAAACTCACGCATCCACCGGTGACGCAATCGCTCCGTGAAGACCCGGGGACATCGAGGTTTAGTGTAATGACTTGATTCACGACTAATCGCGCCTCGATTAACTCTTCATTCCGTCGCGCTGTCATTACTCGCTGTTGCCGCTTACTTGAGTGTGCACGCACACACATACCCGGTGCGAAATTGCACGTTTAATGTTTTCTTCTCCCACTCGTTCGTGAATGGGAAAGGACATTGTCGCGGGGGGCCATAAATTCCCGACGTCGGTACTCTCATGACGTCTCATCAAAATGCAGGTTTTAGACACTAAATAGAGCGTTAGTTACTCGCGAGAAAAATCAGAATAATTATCGCATACTCCTTCTCATCGTAAAACGCGACGCTCTACCGCATTGCAGGGAATCGTGGCTGATAAATGCCGCCGTAAAAAGTCTAGTCGGTTGCTACTTGAAAAACATGCTAATGAAACGTTTTCGAGACGACGGTAAATGCAAACGGCTCTCCTTTCGACCGGATAACGCGAGTTTAATTGGTCTAATAAAGACAACCAGGTTAGCTAACCGACTTTTCTCACTTAGCTAACTTGCCTATGTGTACATACGGAGAAAAATAATTTTGCTGTGTAGCGGAATTACACACACACACACAACGTTGCTACTGCATATTCGCTACGGTAACGATAAAATTTACTCGGCATAACCAATCTAGCGAATTACTCGTAATTAGAGCGGAAACAGTCTCGTCGCCGGGATAGGAAGTATATAAATATTCTGCCGAGTGAATTTGTCCTTGGGACAAATTGTTCACGTTAATTGACTGTTAAGACAAAATAAGTGTTTTCCTACATTTGCTGATTTGTTCTTAAAAGCAAATTCAATTATAGACTTGGCGAAATATATCCAGCGAATGGCAATTAGTACTCTTAACATCTCTTCATACTCTCAATCGTTTTGCGGGCCACATAGTGATAGGTCCGCTGCGACAGCATAAAATTTGCTGGGCCAGCAAATTATTTTTCTCCGTGTGATGGAACACAGTTAAACATCCTGCGCGAAAGAAAGTGGCGGGGAGAGGGGGAGGTGTCCCGTTGAAATTAAAAATCCGACCAAACTCATTAAGATTGCACTGAGATAGAAGTACTTAAAACTTTATTCGTGACAGATGTAAGATTGATTTCGCTGAAATATTACTCCCGTAAAATTATTATTATTCTTTCCGTGAAACGAGCCCTTCACAGATAAATTTTCGAGTATTTCTCTCTCTCAGTCCAAGAGAGAAATTACAAACCCGACTGAAAAGAAATCGTGGGTGGGAGACTTGCATTTTGATCTAGCCTGATGATAGCCACGATGAGATCTCTTGCTTCAAAGCCTAAAGAATAACACAAGAAAGAGCAACGGGAAGCGCTAGACGTGTCTTCTCCTCTCACTGTACTCTAGTGAAATCTCCAGTCGCGCAGATCAGTTACATCACCCCTGCCGCAATCAAGAGAGTCAGCGGCCGATGCTAATCTCGCGAAGTGTCCCGAGAGCGAGAAAGGAGCGCGCTGGATGGCCGTAATGGCAACGAGGCCGCGTGAATCTCCTCGAAAGTGCAATGGAAAAAAAACAGCCTTCCTCCCGGTGATTCTTCGCGCAACTAATCCGAGGGTATTCCGCTCGGCGTAATCGCGAGCTCAGCCAGCTACTTTCGAATCTTGACCGATGGCCAGAGATCCTTCTCTTTTCCTCTCTCCTTCTCTCTCTTCCTCTCTCGTCATGTGGCCCCTTTTGCAAGCAGAGAAAGAGAGAGAGAGACGTTTCTTCGCGTGCTCTCTGAAGGTTTACGTCACGTCCAAGTGGAGAAGCTCGGTCTCCCCTCCATGGGGCCAGGATAATACGACTACGTTGGCTCACGGGTCCACGGGTGAAAGGAGAAAGGTGTCTCCTCGAAGCACACCGGCGGAGAAAAGGGGAAAGGATGTCTCCGGGGAAGACGCCGGCGGAGGAACCCGTGCGGAACAATCTGACGAACGAAATCGGCGTCTCTCCTCTAACGGGGATCGTAGGGTCACGCTGGAGGGGGGAGGGGGTCCCGGCGAAATCGCGAGAACGCCGGTGGGATCGATGGATATCGGCGAAGTGAAATTAGGAGTGTCGGGAAAGAGAAAAGTTCGAGCGGTTCGCACGACCCGCCGAACGATCGAGGGGCTGGCGGAGGGGAGGAAGCACACACGGGTGTTTTTTTTTTTTCAACGGTGGCGACGTTTTGTTTATTTTTTTTCTACAAAAAAGCCTTTATACAAGTACAAAAAGATGCGTGGTTAAGAAGTAGAGCGTTAAAACGTATAAAAAAATAGTGTGTATTCGTGGCTTCGTGTGTGTACGTGTGTATTGGCTCGACTCTCGGCGCGGCGTCCGCTCCGTAACCCGAAGTCGCTTCTCTCTCTCTCTCTCTCTGCCATGCCGATGACGATGCTCTCCTGGCGACGACGACGACGACCTCTCGCGTGAAATCGACCCCGTCGCGATCGCTCCTCCGAGCGAAGAATCTCCCGTTCGTCAGCTCGTTCGACGGAGATCAGGATCAGGAAGAAGGCGAATTCCTCCCGAGAGCGACCGAGCTGAATTACGCAGCGGACGGCGCGCGCGCTGCGATAGAATTTTATTTACAAGGCGCTGATCGCGCCGATCACGTCTTCGGCTTGTGGGCCTCCTCCTCCTCCTCCCGCTGCCTCCTACGAGTGTCCCGGCGATCCGCCGGCTGTGTGAAACGTGTCTGCATCAGCGACTGCGAGACTCCTCTCCTCTTGAGATATATCACTGATCCTCGAACGCGCGCGCGGACACGGCCGCGACGATTGATGCGATTTTGGTACGATTAGACTCCGGCACCGCGCCGGCTCCTCGGGGTGACCCTCTCGAGCGACCGTCCGGGTGTGAAAGTGTGAACAAGGAGAAGATAAAAGGTAGAAGAAGAAGGAAAAACCGGCCACGTTCACTCTCGCGGGCCTCGACTTGCCGAAGCGACGACCGTTGGATCCCCGACAAATCGAGGCCCCGGAGGGGGTGCGCCCGTTCTTCGTACTTTCCGGCGGAGACCCGGGGAGACCCTGACCCGTTGAAGCGACGACTATTTGATCTTCAACGGCTCAGGACGCCGTGGATCTCGCGCTTTCCCGTCTCCTGGCCCGGGGGGCGCGCTCAACTCGGACGGTCCTCGAATCTTGATCCTCGCGATCTGACCCCGACACCGACGACCTTCCGAGCTACGTCGGAGAAACGTTGCGTCACTTCGAGAGAGAGAAACCCCGAGGTGTGTGGTTAGCAGGTAGTCACGATTTCGTGCAGGTGTGTATAGATATCTCCGATGTCTCCTCGGCTCGTCCTTCTGCGCTTCCTTCGCCTCGGAAGATAGCCGTTGTCGCCGGCCGGTGCCATTTATCGACTCCTCCCGTTTCTACTTCAACTCTCCTTCTCAATCTATCTCTTTCTTTCTCTCTTACTACGCATTCTCTCTCTCCCTTCCTCTCCCTCTCTCTCTCATCATCATTCAAACCGAGATGACTCCTTAGTACGGTGCACCGTAGCTACCGGACGGCGGCCTGCTGGGCGTTCCGTAGCTGGTGCTGGGTCCACTGGGGTAGCCTCCGTGGCCGTGGGTCACCTGGTTGAACTGGGCCACCTGGATGGCCTGCCTGATGCCCTCGAGGTCGATGCCTACGACGCGGGTGTGGTAGCCCGGCACGCCGTAGGACGTGCTCGGGGCGCCGTACGACGTGCTCGGGGCGCCGTAGCTCGAGCTCGGCGCGTATCCACCGCCTATGCCGAAGCCGCCGCTCTGTTGAGACTGGAGCTCCTCCTTCAGCAGGATCTGCCGGATCTGCTCGAGCAGAGCCCCGTCCACGGAGGCGCCCTCGCTGGTCTGGTAGCCGGTGGACACTTGGGTGTAGCCGCCGCCGCCGCCGATGCCGAAGCCGCCGCCGCCGCCGCCGAAGGAGTAACTGCTGCCTCCGCCGGTCGGCCTGCTGTAGCTGTAGCCGGACACAGGCGGCTCGGCCAGGGCGAGCCCTGCCAGACCGATGATCAAACACTGCGAACAGGGAAGAATAACCGAATTACCTCGGAACCCGAAGGGAAGAACAGCCGACGCGCAGTCACTCCAATTCCAGGACGGACCGACCGCTGCAGAGGACTGCGCAACCCCGCGATCGCCTTGTAAACCCCGATTAAGCAGCGAGGAAATCGATCAGTCACAGTCGATTAAGTCCCTTGCGGTCAAAGAGCAACCGACCGCGGCCGTTTAACTTTTACCGCTCGCGCTCTTCCGCGCGCCGCGACTTTCAGCTAGCTCGTGGACGCGCGTATTCTCGAGAGAGATTGTATGCTCAAACGCTTTATCCTTCGCTTATGTATAAATCAAGCCTGTCAAAGTGTTTTTAGCGTTTGAAGAAAATCGAAGAAAAGAAATCCGATACTTTGATTCGGAACCCGGCTGTCCAATGAGTTCGGAAATTTCGAGAGGAGAGTCCGCGTAAATTGAATGAAATTCATCGCTATTCATTTACCGGTAATTTCACGAATACTCTTTCGGCAACTATAAAACCGTCGGTACTCCTAGAATTAACTTGGAATTTGTATTATCAGAATTTACCGCGCGTCGTGTGTCAGTGTGTCAGTGAAGCTCTCCGCGAGAAATCAATGAGGCGGGAACGAAAAGGAAAGTACCGTCAGGCTGTGCGCCTAATGTGAAACTAGCATCGCGAGAAATCAGAGGCTCGGAAGCAACGACTAGTAGGCTGATGTGAAATGCGATCCAGGAAAGAAAAGAAAAATCAACACACTCGCTTCTTCCATCGATCTCGATCACTGCGATCTCTCTTCTACCGCCCACGCACACGACTATGTACAAGTCTTCTCACTTTCTTCCGTCAAGAAAACTCGCTCTTCCTTCTCTCTCTCTCTCTCTCTCTATTTCTTTCTCTCCCTATCCGTGACGTACACAATGCCTTACCGTAGATATAAATGGAAACAAAAGCGTGCTTACCGCGATCAAAGGATTCATGTCGGCTTCTGCGATGCCGCTCAGTTCTGTGACTCCGTGGAAGGTAGACCGGAGTCATTTATACTCCCCGGAGAAGCAGGGGGACGTGCGTAAGGTACCCCCACGAAGAAGAAGAGACGGGGGCTTCTCGAGTGAGAGTAATTCACTTGTGAGACGATTCTCTCCCTCCTCGCCCCCCTCCCTCCGGGCGTCCTCGTGCTTCTCTCTTTCTCCGCCAAGTGCCGCCATCCAGTCGTCCCGCTCGCCGAGAGAGGATCGCCGTCGTACTCGGGATTTGGACGTTCAGATCTTGCGAAACGCGGTCTCTCTCGATAGTCAGCGAATATCTGCCTGCGTCCTAGACCTAGACTTCGTCAGTCGGATATTTCGCCGTAACCCTATGGCCCCCGCGACAGAATTTACCTCGGCCACCTGCTATATGTTAATCTCCACGTGAGTTTTTTTTTTTCTTTTTTACGATTAGAGGCGTACACAGGTATGGACGGAGTTGGTGTTTCTCAGGAAGGAGATAGAATTTGATAGTCACGATTATTGTTCAATCGTTACGGAGGATTATTGGGCGGCGCTCGAGGATCTCTTGGCGACTTCAACGCGCCGTTGAAATTTTATGTTCGTGGTAGATAAGTAGCAATGTCGTTAACGAATTGCGAGCTTTAGTCGTGGAGCAATCGACAGATCGATCTTGTGATTTGTGCAAGTACTCGCACATTTGATTGCTACTTGAAACACGTTATTCAAGAGACGCATAGAGATAGAAATATTCAGATTTCGTTCACGTCGGAATTGTTTGTTGATAAACTCAATACGTTGAATATAGCAAGTCTCGGCCATCTCGTACGCAGGACATGACAACAGTTCGGACGGGACTTTTGTAGCCCGAATAGGTCACTTGAAAGAAAGTCGGTAGTAATTTCAAGAGTTGCTCTCGCGGGATCGCGCGGCCAACGAGCGCGTCACTCTCGATTCGGCATCGACGCTGAAGGAAGCGAGGATTCCATTGTCTTCGCGCGACTTTTAGACTTTTCCGCGAGCCGAGGGAGAACATTTACATTTCCCAGGCGAAAATCTCACTAAGCCGATGTCTCGTTTCGCATTTCGATGCATTTCTTTCTCTTCTCGCCCGTTTATCGCTATTTCAACGTCGCTCATTGTCGCTCAACTGTACTTCATCGGCGTTGCGTCAGAAACGATCCATGCATTCCTCCGCGGATATCTCAAGTGAGAATAAATAGTCCGTGCGGATTCGTCGATCAACGACTTGACCCGGTTCTACCGATGAATATCTTCGGCCGCTTAATTGATATTTAATTAAGCGCACGTGGAACTACCACGAGCTTGGGTGACAGTTAGCTCTATCCGATGACGAGGAGCTGCCGAGATTACTTCTCTCGCACACTCGCGAGTGCCAAGTATCTCGGGGAGAGATCCCAAGGATCCGTCGATCCTTCGATCGAGAAATGTTCCGCATCAACGAACAAATTACCACGACCGTCGGCTCGCCGAGATTCCGACCGGGAAAATTGGCGGGGAATAAATCAATAATCCGCGTCGCGTGTGCGGTAGGTGAGTCCCGGGCGATCGGCTGGCGCGGAGTCACGAACTCTTGCTTGTAAAAGGAGAGTCGGGCCGATCAGGAAGAAAAGTACGTGCTACGCCATCATTGTATCATCCACGGCGGCGAAGCTTCCGTGCGTTCGAATCGACGTAATCATCGGCGACGAGCGCGTCTTGCACGCACCAACACACGCGGCGTTGCCGCTCTAAAAAGTATTCCCCGGTGCATCGACACCTGCCCCGGAGGAGTTTTCGCGCCTGCCTTTGCGCCTTGTGTTAACCAACTTTTTCGACGCTCGCGGCTACCATCATTCGGGAGCGATTTTTCATCTCGGACACACGCCGCTTGTAATAAATCGCGTTTCGCAACGTCGCTCGTATCCGCGCGAGAGTAACGTTTCTCTTTCTTCGCGCGGGGGTTCAATGATTATATCGATGGGCGAGCTAGAAACGCCGATGTACTACGATCGCACACGGGGGGAGGGGGGAAGAATTAGTATTCGATGTTCCATTCAAGATTCGTATTCTCATTTGTAAGCGGGAATATAGAATCTTACGTGATGATAGAACCCGCTTCTATGACGAAGTTTTATATAATCTAACCGAAAACCTTACGCTTCTGTTATCCAAAAGTCACTTTCTTCGTGTATTGTATGTGTATAAGAGCGAGCTGGGCATAAGATTATACATGCTCGCTTATATTCGTCGAATATGAGTCGTGAATGGACGTTAATTTTTCTCTTTGTACCTTTTGCTCGGATCCTAAACAGCTCCGTGATTTAACAGTCGGGGTCCATCTGACAAGGACCCTATCCTGAACGCGCATCGCACGTCTTCAAAATGAAGCGTAATCAGCGTTCGTTAACCGGCTTGTTATACGCCACAGATTAAGGTCCTGGGACCCAGCTCTCTAGCGGCCTTAATGGCCGATGTCGAAAATCATATTATTCACAAAGTTCCAGTCCCCTCGCTCTTCGGCACGGAGAAGGATTTGAAGGCGTTTAGAGGAGGAAGTCCATTACGGTTGGTCTGGCAACACAGCCGCAGGTCGTCCAGTGTCCGGTTCCCATCCTCGCCGGCGATGGTACCAACTAAACGAGAGGGAAAACGCTTTCTTCGGCGAGGAATTTAATTATCCGGCCTGTGAACTCTTGACCCACTTCCCCGCGCATTATGACCTCGTATATCTCACCGTTCCTCTTTTACCTCCTTCGCTTTCTTCCTTTGCTTTTTCCCCCTCGATCTGGTTCGCCCTATTTTTCCCCCTTTTTCTCTCTCTCTCTCTCTCTCTCCGCCGCTGGTTGTTGGTCCCAGCGACGAGGTGAGGCGCGCGCGTGCGTTTTTTCGGCCATTACTTTCACGTGTCCTTGCCGTTCGGAGCTAATAGCACGCGGCAGGACGGCCGATTTCGGCGAGTACGCGTACGGCGACTTTTTGACAGTCTCGATTATGCCCCCGTTGTGTCAGCGTTCATATTCAGTTACGCAAAAATCCTCCGGCAGCTGCAATTGCCGCTGACCCGACCTCGTCGACGCTTCGTCTTTGTCTTGCGCTCGTTGAATCTTTCTTTCGCGCTCCGCAATCCGCATCTGGCGTGAATTCCACTCGCTCGCGCGTCCAGCCGGACGATAAAAATCTCACGATATCGATGTGAACCCTCCTTTTTTACTCAGCCGACTATATATCTGTGTATTTCATATATATAAATATATAAATATTTATATACTTATATATTATGCCTGCATTTTTCATTTAAAGTGTGGATAAGACGATGTACAAGGCGGACCTCGAGAGCTGCGTTTTCGGTGACGTCATCGTCTCTTATCTGCGCGCATATTTGCGCAACTCGGATGCTGAAATCGAAAGGGCCTTGAATCGGATTACAGTCTCTGATAAACAATATTCTCGCCTCTCCCGCGCCGATGTTACTCGCGCGAATTCCGAGGAGTGATCATACGCGGCTAATCCCGTCATTCGTGTCACTTCTGTCAATACCGCCGTTCTTAGAACGTCCACGTGTCGATTCGCTGTTGATGCTTTATGATACGAGGATGCTTTCAGTGTTCGGCGGAACACCGTTTAATCACACTCCGCGCGGTGTGTGTCGGTGTGTGACAGCTATGAGACCCGAATAACGTGTGACCCGCGTACGCTCGTTACGCACTATGAATTCTCACGCACGTTATTTCACGCGACTTATTCCTGCCGATTTCGAGAAAGAAAGCATACGAATCGCAGAGATAAAGAGAAAAGTCGCGAGCGCGCCCATACACACACCTGCACGCGATGTGAGAAAGAAAGAGAGGGAGAGAGAGAGAGAGAGAAGGGTGGGGCGAGAGGGGGAGTGGGACATCTCATGTAGTGTGAATTATAGAAGGTGAAACATGTTGACGTGGAGAAAACGACAATGCGTCATTTTGCGACGGCACATTTGTCATTGCGATCAATTCTTCAGTCGAAAACACCTCCCTGCGCTCTTTGCGATTTTCGATTCTTGATTTTATCATTCGAACGATTTTCTCGATTTTCTCATTCTTCCCCGAAAGACATCGAGCTCCTCTCTCTCTTTCTATTTTATTGCCACCGATCATCGCGTGTGCACAGTTTTGACCTCCTCGGTCGCACGTAGAAGCAATCAACGGCTGCGATCGTCGATCCCGATGACTCGGGTAAGACTCTCCAGCCCCCGAGTCACGTCGCAACGTGTGCTGCATCCGAGTTTCTCAAATATTAATGTTGCAGCGTGGAAGGAACTCCTCTCTCGCGTGGAAGCCGAGCTTGACTTTCGCTCAGCCGGCGGAGCTTCTGCTCTCTCGCCGCCTCGCCGGTCTTCTTCCTCTTCGCTCGGCGTCATTCGCTTCGTCAATTTTTTTCTCCTACCCGCCGCGAGGAACTTCCTCTCTCAAACAGTCGCGACTGTTTGCCTTGTCGTCGTCATTTACCAGGCTTCTTACGTTCAGCCTTGCCGAGGCTGCGGAACACCGGGAGGCGGACTCCCGCGGTACCCCAAATTAGCATGAGTGTTCGAGAAACCTACCGGAGATATCGGAAGAACGTGCGACGTCTCTCAGATGTCTCACAACCCGAGTCGACATTTTTATGCTACGTCGACTCCGATGTTCTCAAGGATAGGTTTGCACCTATTTAGACGACCTGTGGACTAATAATTAAGGATCCGAACCGAAACCCGAAAACCGTATGGAAACCGGTATTCTTGTCAAACCGGAACCGTACCGAAATTTTATAAACCCTATAAAACCAGAATCGAAATCGGAACCGTTACATTCTTTTCGGTTTGCGGTTCTTTTCGGCTCGCTATTTTGGTTCTTATTCTGCGACTTTAAATAAGCGTTTTTTTCATCTCGTAATAAAATTCTGGTTCTCACGAAGAAGCAGAACGTCGATTAGTTATCGCGACAAATAGAAAAATTAACTTCAAGCATACGATATTGAACGGAAGAGGATTAATAGAAGAAGTAATATATTATAATTTTGGGATAAGCGGAAAGACAGTCCTGAATTGTACAAATTACTCTAACGGAATATGTATATCCTGAGAAAGCTCGGAGAATATCGAGATATTCTCGAAATTTATATAATTTACATGTTTCGTTAGGAAAAGGTTACAATTAATGAGGATAATATTATGTATCTAAAAAAAATTAATGAGGGTAATAGTATGTATCTAAAAAAATTAATGAGGATAATATTATGTATCTAAAAAAACTAAGAGAAGATGGAAGTAGTGAAGAAGTGCCATTTACATCGAGGAAATAATATTATTTTTTATAANAGAACCGTAATTTAAACGGTTTACCGGTACTTTCATTGTCCAGAAAACCGGAAGCGAAACCTTTATTAAATATCTTAGTGGACCGGAACCGGACCGATATTTTCATTCCGTCCGGGTCCCTATTAATAATAAAAACCTTTGACGATGTTGGCACTTATTAACTTCTCCCTCGAATCTTAAATTCTGCAGACTTCATCTTAATGTTATCTCGAGTCCAGCGTTATTTTGACGCTAAAACCGCGCAAACGGACTTATAAGACATCATCGGTGTCAAAGTAGAAGTAAATTATATCATTAAAATTGAAATTGAATTTATTTAGCTTCATTAAGCTCCTGCTGTATTATAGAATTTTCAGTTTAACACAGGATCAACATTTCACCTCGAGAAGACGTCCTTTAGACACTTTAATCGTCTTGAGTCATACTTCTCGCAGGATAATCGTCTATGCTGCCTATTGAAATCGGCTTGATTGCGAAAGCACACACACTTCGGATCGGTCATTGCGCTTCCATTCACGCTCGTTTGTCTGTAATACAGACATACAAATTCCTCCGGTTTGTCTCTATGCGCGAAATCAAATACGACGTTTAGTAATAGCGAGTCAATAAAAATGTTATATCACGTCTCCCGCCGGCGGATTATACTTCTGCCTTCTGCAAAGGGAAACCGCGACTCAATTTCGAATGTACGTTAAATTATGAATAATTAGCGACACCGTGGGAATTCGATTAGCCGCTTGTCCCTTCAATAATCGTACAAGCATTGCGTGACTATCGCTCGCCACTATTGCCGCCGTAGGTTACAGTTCAAACTTTCACAATTTTTTTCGCATCGAGGAGGATTTCGCCGGAGGCGCCGCCTCTTTACAAAATTTACATATACGCGCCGAAAAACGCCGCGACTGCGATTTTCCGAAGACGTCGCGACGTCCCGTTGTCGGAAGAAAAATCCGGGAAAAGACAAAATTCGCTTTCTCACTCGACCCGAGCGAATGAAAGAAATCGGAATTTAAGAACCTCGATTTAAGAAATGGAATTTCAGAATCAAATTTATCAGAGTAGTTCAACGCTCAGATTTCTCGATTCAGCGAGAATCCGTGTTTCGTTAGACTTGAGCTTTTTAGCACGGATCTAAGGACGCGTATGTACACGCGCCGTGTCCCGCACAAAACGTTACGCCGTAACTCTTTAGAAAGTGTAATCGTTTACGGGACGCGATGTTTACAAGATTAATGGACAGCGCCTGTGGTAGTTGCGATCTTCCGTCGACGCAGTTTTACGTAACGCCGTTTCATGCGTGAACTTCTCGCTCGAATGTACTCATTTCTAACGCAAGAGGGTTACCCCGCGACGGAAACGGGCGAAATCCCGCGTATCTTCCCATGAAAGGCGGAAAGGTCGAGGTTCGCGCGGTGAAAGGTGAGAGGAAAAATTCAACCCATGTTGGCGCAAAATCTCGCGAGTAAGTAAGCGAGGAGGGTCTCTCGCCCTTCGCTGATCCTCGGCGTGACTCATCTCGGCGACGACCACTCGCGGACGGGATCCGCGCGCACCTGCGTGAACAAACGTTCATGATCTGTTTGAAACAAGCGACCGGCTTACTGTATTTGCAAAGTCCGTGCAACATGTAAACCGTTACCGTCACAGGCGGCGCGACACTTGTCGCATTAGCGTGCCGACGCGAACGTGTTTGCACCGGGCTAATATTTGTACGCCAACTGTTGGATAATCCCTTTCTCTCCCTCTCTCTCTCTCTGGTTCTTCCACACATCGAGTATTGTTATGGTGCTTTCACCTTTATCAGTGGTGAACATAATTTACACTCGCGACTAGCCTTGAATAGATGCGTAGGATTGATACTCGACGCGAGACCGGATGTTCAGATCTCACCCTTTTCCCGTACACTTAAAATGGTTAAAGGTGAATCAACGGAGACGCCATTCTGCCCGCTATTTGGCATTGTTAACAACGTGGTACCTAGACTATTGTTCGAAACCTATAGCTTTAGAGCGGAGCAATCCGTAAGATCAACCAGAATTGCGTCATACTTACTCTGTCCCGTCGGAAATTTTTAATATGTTCACACATTGTTACCTCTGTATATAGCTGGAACGGCTTACCGGCGGATATTCGCGGCCTTGGTAGTTTCGGCTCTTGCAAGGCCAGACTATTGGAGGCCATATATTTCAGCCGAAGGTGACTGCAGTCACCTGTAGTTCTATTAATAGTGAATTCTCTTTTAGTCCGTATTCATCCTCCCCTCTTTTCTCTGTTCTTTTTTAGCCTTATTTTTTTCCACACTTTGCATCCGACAAGTGATGCGTTTCTGAAATTGCTTTCCTACTTCGTATCATTTATTTAAGTATCCTCTATCATTCTTCAAAGTTTATCGGTATATTTTTTTAACGCCCTGAATGTTACTTGCGCCTTGATTATTCCGATCTTGTATTTTTATGCATTTGAGGGGAAGTTTTCGCAGAACGCAGCATATATCTCTTCTCTCTCTCTC